CGCCAAAACCAAAAAAAAAAAAAAAAAAAAAAAAAAAAAAAGAAAAGAGTATTTGTGTCAGAGCCCATCACAGGAGAGCCCCCAGTTCTGGCTCAGGGCCAGGTGATTCTGTAAAGATGTGTAAGACGGTTTCCCCAGGGGAGGGTTAGAGCAGCTTTGGCTGGAATAAGCTTTACTGCAGGGTACTCAGTCACCCTCATGTTTCTCTGCCACTTTGTAAACTCAGAGTCTTAACAACTGGAGCAGGGTACGACTTGTACGGCAGAAGCAAGGATACACACACTCAGCCATCCCTTGATGAGCTTCCCACCACACCATTTCCTGGTGTTTTCACCAGGAAAAGTGCATCACTACTGCTCTGTTTTTCCTACCTGCCCTATACACTGGTGTCCGTAAGATTTACTCCTAGACTAAGGGAGTAGAAAAGGGTCCTCAACCCACCTTGTCCCAGCAGCGTGCTTCACGCTGATCAGAATTTCCTTTGCCAACCTCAACACTAGCCAGAGATGTTCAAATTAGAACAGTCGATTAAGGATTCCTCTCTTTTTCTATTCAAAACAGAGTCAGTATACTTAAACTAGAGCAGCCTACATTTCATAGAACCACAGAATCGTTTAGGTTGAAAAAGACCTTTAAGATCATTTGAGCATTTAAGATCATTTGACCTTTAACCTAGCAATGCCAAGACCATGTCCCTAAACCATATCTCTAAGCACCACATCTTCACATCTTTCAAATAAATCCAGTGATGGTGACCAATCACTTCCCTGGGCAGCCTCTTCCAGTGCTTGATGACCCTTTTGGTGAAGAAATTTTTCGTTTTTTCAAATCTAAACCTCCCCTGGAACAACCGGAGCCCATTTCCTCTCGTCCTATTGCTTTTTACTTGGGAAAAAAGACTAATCCACATCTCGCTACAACCTCCTTTCTGGTCCTTGGAGAAAGTGATAAGGTCTTCCCTGAGTCTCCTTTTCTCCAGACTAAAGGATTCCAGTTCCCTCAGCTGCTCCTCACAAGACTTGTTCTCAAGACCCTTCACCAGCTTCTTTGCCTTTCCCTGGACATGGTCCAGTAGCCCAGTGTCTTTCTTGTACTGGTGGGCTGCACACACATCTCAGCACTAATATGAATGATGACCTCTGATACAACAGGGTAGTTTTAGCTCCAGTAACCTCTGAAACAAAACTGGGAAACTTGTGTTTCTGTCTTCACAGAAAAACCTTTGCCTCTGAGAAAGGAGATCTGTGAGAAGACACATCATACTCCAGCAAAACAAAGACCTGGGGACTCCTCCAAACTCACCTCTTCACTGATACTGTTACAAACAAGTAATACAGGGATGACTACAGCTGTGGTCAACTAGAGAAGGCTATAGCTCAAACAAAATCCTTCCACGCATAATTCACACTGAATGTCAGGATGTGGCATCTTTCTGCCTCACGAAAGAAAGAGCTATCGATCACAGACACTAGCCTGAACTGAGCCAGAAATAACCCTAAGAAAGAGGTAAAACATACCCTGCGCTGAATTTTCAGAGACACGTCACAGCCTGCATTCCTGAACAGTTCCACAGCATCCTTGTGCCGCAAATCCTTCAAGTCTCTGCCATTGACCTGGCAAGAAAGGAAAAGAACTCATTGCTGAAGGACAAAAAGCAAAATTTTAAAGACGTAAGATAACACAGGAAGGATAAGAGATAAACTTCCTCTTTCACAAAATTCTGCGCTTGGGGCACGATAATATAAGAAGCAAGATCCATATTAACTCATTTGTATTACAGATGTATTTTCCTATGTTGAGAGATAACATGAGAGACCCCAAGCCAAAATGCACATTCCCAAAACTACCTAGAAGCAAAATCAGAATATAAGACAACAGTTGTGTCAATAGCAGCTTCTTGTGCTGTTGCTTTACTGGAAGCAAATCAAAGGTGTAATTCAGACAGCTAAGGAAAATGAAAGAGCAGCTACAGCAAAATTATTATTATGAGTCTCTTTCCCACATTATTCCCTCTACTGGTCTACCTTTGAAACCTTTCTGTTTGAAAGTGCTGTAAACATACATTTAAAAGCATACTGATGTAATAAAACAAAAAAAGACTTACGTACATATTGGCATCCACTTGAAAGTGTTAGGATTTTTCTTAATTTAAAATAATGCCTCATGGCAGAGGGTTTTATTCTTTTATTCTACACACTTTCTATTGATTTCATTCACTAACCAGTAACATTAATCTAATTTTTTTCTTTTTCATCCCCACTGCCCCTAACTGTATCCCCTGATATCACATCCTGTGCCTCCTTTCTCTTGATATTTAGACTCCCCAAGCCTAAGTACATAAATATTAAACTGTCAAGAAAATATAGGATAATATTCTCCATTTAACTTAATATCATCTTCTGAATCAATAATAGGCTCCAACTAATACAAGGCACTCTACAAGGCAAAAAAATATTACCTGTGGAACATAATAAGCAAGTATAAAATAAAATTAAGGAGTATTAAAAGATCACGTATCATATTAGGAAAGGCTGCTCCTTCACTCATCACTTTGTAAAGTGAATTGTCTTGTACAATTGCCAGCTGTTGGAAGAATGAGCAGGACTGAACCTCAGTCACTTTAAAATTATTTTTTCTAAAAGGAGAAGCAGCCTGTGTTATTCTCGACAAGGCGAAATGAAGAGTTTCATAGCCTACAAGGTTTACAGCCTAAAAATCTCCTTGAGCAAAAGGATCAGTAATCACAGACTATCAGTCAGAAATGGAAACTTAGATGTGGAAGACCTTTATTAACATACGTGTAAATGACAATCCATTGTCAGCAAGAGAAGGTCTGATGGATTCAAAAACCTTAGGGAGGCAAATCACAGAAGAAATACAAACGCAGCACCAAGGAGCACTTCTGAGACAAATCAAGAAGGCAGAGGAGATGGGCCCGTGTGTAGAGGCACTCATCTCCCTAGTGCTGAAAGCTCTCCTCAGCCCCTCAAGACAGCTCCTCAGCACCATCCAACTGCATTCACCACATCCTTCCTCTCTGTGTGCTGCGACGGCAAACCTGCAGCCTCACATCGTGGCTCTGATCACAGCGTTTCAAGAATACACGGGGCAACAGGAGAAAGGGCTTACCGCTAAAATTTTATCTCCTTCTCGCAATCGGCCGTCAAGGTAAGCTGCCCCGTCCTTTTTGATCCGGCTGACATAGATGCTGTTGTCATTGGAAATGTACTGCTGATCTGTCCCACCAACAATGTTGAAGCCCAGCCCTAAGGAAAGCCAAAGAGAAAGTTGATGAGGAAGTGCTCAAAGCTTCACACATTCTTGCTGTTGTTGGCAGCTACACCCTCCCTCGTTACCCTGTTTTCTCCAGTATACTAAAATCCATGGCACACAAACCTGCATCACCCCTTCAACCATCACTGCCTAGAAAAGTTAATTCTCACGAAACTGGTCCTGAAAATGGAGAGACTCTGAAGGCCTGAGGGCTCAGATGCTCATTCCCTAAAGCATCCCTGAGCTGTTTTCAGGTGGGTGTTGGGGAATACTGAGGGACAGGCCAGTGCTTCTGAGGTTCAGCCCTCCGCAGGAACAAGCCTCTTCAGCACAGCATGAGAGGAAAGCGTTCTGCGTTTCACTGGAGGCTATAGTAAATCATTACCTTTGAGCAACAGGAAATCATGCCTGACAAGCGTTCCAGGAGCTGGGAAACAGAGTCAGGAAAGGCAAGAAGCATTAGAGCCTGTCTACAGATGAGGAAACAGGCAAGAGGAGCTGTGCTACCAGCTTGAGGGCACCTAGAGCTCAAAAAGCTCCCCTTACAGAGCTCTCCTTTGGGAGCTGGAACTGGCATCTTTTGCCACCAAGAATTAAAGTCACTTAGATAAGGCTACTTCAAATCACATGTAATCACTTTGTTCTGTTTCAGGAATTCAAAACACAACAGGAAATAAAGACAGAATTCTTGGATTTAAAGCAAAATGAAAAAGAATACACATACATTAAACAGAACTGATGTCCACTTCATATTTTCGTTATGTTTCGTATTGTTCTTTAAAGTAAGCCTCGATTACAGATCTCTAGCTGGAACCATCTGCTGGGTTAAAGTGCAGTTAAAGATTGTCCCCTTGTTTCATCAAAAATCCGGAAGCACAAATTGAATTCAAAATCTGGAAAACCACAGGTTACGAGAGCACACTCTCCACTACACATGCTGCTGTAAATAATAATACGTGACAAGGGATGGGAAAAGATTCCCCAAGAAGAGATTTGCAATGAAAAAGGAAAGAAAAGTCAAGGCAAAAGAAAAAAAACAACAAATATACAATCAAAGTAAATAACTTTGATTGTATATCTGATGTAAACTAGTCATCTAAAACCTGCTGTCAAGAACAGCTGAAGGCAAATTCTCCCCACATTCAACCAGGCTGATTTATTTATATACTCTTTGTTTCTTACTTTCTCTCAAAGTTGAGACTAGAAACTTTGGGAAGGAGAGTCGCAAATGAAAGTAAAACCACTTTGTGCCTTCTGGGAAGCAACACTTTCAATCAGCCATAGATCAAAGGAGGTACAAGATGAGTCATGCTATTTTAAGTGTGCCATGTACAGTTGGGAAGTAAAGAAATACTAACAGCAATCTCAACACACCTTTTTTTTTTTTTTTCCTATCCTTCCTGGTAGCTTCAGACAAATGAGGAAGAAAATGGAAGCGGCAGCAGATTGAAGAAACGCTGGTAGTTTTGCACAATAACACACCCTTCAATTAGAATTAAAAAAAAATTTATATATATCCACAAATCTAAAAGTTATTTGCCATGAAGCTAATAACCTGGGAACAGGGAGAATCAATATTACAGAAAGTACAAGGTTTAATCAAATTTATTAAAATGTCAGAAAGTACGAATCAGAATTTCAGAATACATTGATTCTCTCTCACGTACAAAAAAAATCTTCCTCTCTCTCTCTCTATATATATATGAAAAAAGTATAACTGCAATTTTTCACCCACGATTGAAAATAATAATCAAAAGTCACAGCTTTCATCAGCAGAGAAAATATGAGGTAGGAGCAGATCTTTGTGCCAAAACCAGGCAGCAGTTCATGCAAGACCAAGTTAAGTATTCACAGGGCTTTTTCACTGCGTCTTTCCAGCACTTAAACTTTCACTTTGGCTAAAAACACCTTCCCTATCATTCCTCGAGCTCTCTGCTGCTCTGGGCAAAGCTTCTGACCCTCCCTATGCTTCACTTACCCTCGCAAAACTCAAGTCCCTCAGAAAAGACAACCTCAAAAAATTATGATTGGCAGGATTCAGAGGAGAGAGGTTGAACAACATTGGAAATTGAACCGATGAAGTTACTTAGTTTTCCATAAAACCAGATTTTTCCGCTTAATTTCAGCCTAGTACCTTAGAAGGAAATCTGGAAAAGCAAAGACACACACACACACACACACACACGGTACTGGCACTGTAAATGCATTCATCTCCTCAGCAAACTTTTGCCAGAGATGTTTAGCATCAGACTTGTTAAAAAAAAATTGCAGTCAAAATTCTGATTAGAGAGATTATGAGATTACAGTGTGCTTTACAGATAACAGTGGTTTGTTCAATCCACAGAAATAAATAACTCACATGGTAAATGCATCAAGGTCATAAGACCTTCAAATCAAGTAATTAACCTAGCTCTAAAAACACACAGCCCATCTTAACCATGGGACAAGTGCTGGTGGTGGTAATCAGATTTAAATTGCTGCGGCCACATCCAAGATCTCTCGGCTCTGCCCCTTCACATCCTCTTCCACCTCCCTCGAAGTTTCAGATTCCCAAACACACAGACACAGCTTCCCCATCAGAACCATCTTCATTCAGCATATAATTTTCACTGACGAGCGCGGCTTCATTTGCCTGAGCTCATGGCTGTGCAGACAGGGTTACACAGCTTTCACAGGACCAGAGAACCAGCCGTCGGAGCTGGAAGGGACCTCTGGAAACCATCTAGTCAGAGCAGCGGCCGCTCTGGTGAGCGGGAAAGGCAGAGGGCTGCCTGCTGGGTCCAGCCTTTGGGCTGCCATCGCTGGCACGAGGGCCAGGACCGACCCCAGCCCTGGGTGGGAACTATCCTCACCCTGGAGAAATGACAATGTCACGTTTGCCAAGGACGCGGGTGCCAAGCCAGGGCCCGGCCCGCAGCCGCACCCAGCAGTTGTGCAGACAGAAGGGCTGCCGACTTCCCTTTCATGCCTTTTAATTAAAGAGAAGACCTGGCGCACCAAGCATGGCTCTAGCTGCAAAACCTCTCCTGAGCCTGCGGTTCTCTGGAGCTGGGATTTGGCTCCGGAGCCGTGCGCTCGGTCCTAACTTGCCTCGCTTCTGAAAGCGCCGATTTGAACAGCATCTAAAATCCTGTTTAACTGCGCGGGC